CCACCCCGAAATCATTTTGGTAGTGGATGTGTAACATAATTCCTCATCTGCCTCTGCATTTTCCAAACCAAAAATGAGCCTAAGATTTTTACATCTACCCAAATCCATAAAGCCAATAAAATGTGCAGTGAAATATATAGGCAGCATCTGAGAGCAGTAAAATGTGGCAGATTCCTGGCAACCAGCAGTTGAACATTTTATCAAAACCTGATTTAAAACACCAGGAAATGGTAGTTTATCCAGATCTACGTCTGTATAAGCCCATTAATTTTCTTCTGTCTAAATGGCAAAGAAAAAACCGTTGAAGGTGTATTCAGACAGCTCTTAACCTTATACCGAGAACGGTTTTGGTCTAAACAATGCCACCAGATGATCTGTTAATGTGCAGGTGATCTAGTACTCTGCACCTAGAGGGAGCTCATTGGAGACTGCCCTCCATTTGGACAATTGTCTTAATAAAAAAAAAGATAAATAAAAGTGTTAAGCAATAAGTGACTAACATCACCTATGTTTAAAGGTTAGAAAATCATAAGGGCCCAGCAGGGGCATTCAAATCAGTAGACTAACACTTTTCTGCTTGCCGCTTAATTCAACATTTTGACACTGAAGAGATTCCATATGGGGATTACGCAACAAGTATTCAAGTGGATCGGCCATATTTGATCCGTGGATCTGTTAGTCCACTGTTCTGAATGTGCGCTTTGATTACTGGTTAAGCCAATTGGTCATGTGGTTGTGTTAGTTGGAAAAAGCCAAGGCCAAATTTGTGTCTGGACGCTGCTCTGTAGGAGTGCTGGCCTGGACAAACATTTTGCCTGGTATAACAAGGTGCAAAAAGGTTGGACGTGCTTCAAAATAAATATACCCATCACCCAATATAGCACTACATTTTCAGTTTTTTTGTCAAATGTTGGTCACACTCAAAACAGATTTTTTTCACTTTTCTGCTGCGATAACCTATATTGTGGTTTTGCATTATTTACATGTTTTTTTTTTCTTTTTTTACGATAAATTTTGTGCAGTATTTTCTTTGAAATTGCAAGACTTGAAAAAACCCACACCTTATGCCACCACACCAGTGTATTACTCTGAATCCACAGTGAACACAACTGGCAAGATTGTGTTTGAATTCAGTTGTGTAACTAATTTTAACCAGTTGCACTTTATTCATGGAAGTTTGGAAAATGTGTCTTTTTTTATTCAGACAGTTAGGAATTCTGAAGTGTCTCTGAATTTGCCAAAAGAGAAAAAAAGAGAAAGTTAAATGCTAGTTTCAGCTTAGCACAACAGCAACTGTAAACATAGAAACACTGATGAAATCAGCACTACACACACACACACACACACTCACAAACAAGATCTCCAACAAATTATTTTAACAGCAATTGAAAAAAGAGCAAGCATATTTAAAGAACAGAAATAAAAACTATAAAACAAAGAACTAGAGCTGAGTAAAAAAAGTACAATATTTTGGAAATTCTGCATCAACCAACCTACATACACAGATATTGGGCATTAGAGAATCACCCCAGTTAAAACAGATTCAAAATTCTCAACACGAAAAAAAAAAAAAAAGCGTTGCTTCAGCTTACTTGACTTCATCACTCTCCAGCAACAGTATCTTAATAGGTATCCTGGGTAGCCACATATGCCTCAGTATCTCTGTGCCTTATTAAGGTAAAGTTCAGTACAGAGCCTCGACCCTGGGTCACCTGTAGAACTCACTTTGACCTTTCGATAGACTTTTACGTGTTTAGAGAAGAAATAAAAGAAATTGGGAAAGGCTAGCGTAAAACACCTGATGTTATAACACCAGTCCAGTGTGATTTAGTAGACGTGAGGTTGAAACATTGGTTGTTGTTATGTAGGTGTTTTTTTGTTATTACTGTTATAGAATAGAGTAGTTTTGTTTATCTGCTAAGTTTTTTTTTTAAAGGAGGGGGATTTTCATACATGTCTCCCACAACAACTTGTGTTGGCAATTTTCTTTGAAGTTTGCGAAAGTATTTTGATTTAAATATCTCTATCTTCCAAAGATTTGTTCAAACCTTCCTTTTATAGAAACTGTGCCCTGTTTTACTTATTTAAACAAATATCACCCAATAAATATATATATGCAGCTAATATGTAAAATATCTCCTAATACTAGCCTATTCTTCTTTTAAGTTGAAATTCCGGGTAAGGTATTGCCATTTGTCTGATTCACTTATTTTCAATAATTCTCTTCAAAATTTAGAAGGTTTACATAAAGGTTCACTGGAAAGCCAGATTTGTTCTTTAGAAGAAAGAATCAAACCTGTAGAATTTCAGTAAAAAAATTTCAAGTACAGTTTTGATTAGACAACAAAGTTCAATCTTCTTCAGAATACACCTGTCTTGAGGACCTTGTAATACTTTATCCAACTTGGGTTCAGGGTTTCGTAACTAGCAAATTTTTAAGTTTTCTTCAACAACCAAGTAGAATAGTTGTAGACGATTACCCAGTAGACCACAAGGCGGAGAGAGAGAGCGAGCGAGAGAGAGAAAGGGAGAGAGAGAGAGAGAAAGAGAGAGAGAAAGGGAGGGTTATGGTAAAGAGTTATCAGGCACAGAGGTTTGCATTTACATTGAGGTCGCATTTACACTGAACATAATTAGACTAGATGCCCCATAGAGTAGAGACCATTGGAAAGTGGTTGACCCGTATGCAGTGTAAACGCGACCTTTGATGTGAGCCACCCCAACGAACAACCCAAGTTAACTTCGTAATAAAAACAAGCTGATTATAAATGCATTGCAGTCCTTTTTAAATCCTGAACAGATTTGGTCCAGTTCTGTACCCACATTTTATATTAACAGCACAGACATTTCTTTTAGAATGCATGTACAAATGGTAGCGCAAACAGTTACAATCAAATCAGGGCCTTATTCAGGAAGTGATTTCTTTCAGTCTTAATTTAATCAGTTCTTTTATTTTTCTTATGGGTGAAAATTCTATTCTCCGAGTTCAATATTTTCAACTGGGATGGACACTAAAATTTGTGACTTTTTTTAGATGGCATGCTGTACAAAAGATTAATAATAATAAGTAATAGATGAAGATATTATTGGATATATGAATGAATGCTCCTCTATATTTAAGCACATTATGCATAAGATAAGATGTATTTGTCATATTATAAGTAAACCATTGGTTTGAAGATAAAATAATTTCAGTGAGATGTATGCATATTTCTTGATTTATTCCATGTTATATAGGTAATTAGGATTTAAATTTACAATGTACTGACATGGCCTTTTTAAGTAAAACTGTATGACCTTCACCTTGGAAGGATGACCCTGACCTATATAAAGGGCTTTATGTGACCTTGACCCTGTCTCTGCTTTCAGGCAGTCCATTTGCTGTCAAGATCCGCGGAGAGCCATCAGACAAGCTGGTGGAGAAGATCATGCGCCAGGCGCAGGCCGTGGATGTCACACATGTCGGGAGCCAGTGTGAACTTAGCCTTAAGATCCCAGGTAAAGATCAGAGCTTGGCTAAAATTTAGGACAAGTTTGATTAAGATTTCCTGTGAGGTGTTTGTGTAAACTGGCCTTAAATCTTGAACAGTTGCATAATCTGTGGTAACATGATAGTATGGAGACAACATCTTTGACTAGATTAAATTGAAATCTGTTGATTTATTGCAGTTCATACTTCAATATGGATGTATATGTGTAATTTGGTTATTATAAATAAAATTAACTGTATTGCTTTTGTACTGTAATTTTATCTTCACACACATTTGTACCATCACATAATGATGTTATTGTATTGTAATTGTATCTTTACACACTCTTTTGTTCTGTCACATTGTCATGTTATTGTACTGTAATTGTATCTTCACACATAGTTTTGTACCATCACATTGTCATGTTATTGTACTGTAATTGTATCTTCACACATAGTTTTGTACCATCACATTGTCATGTTATTGTACTGTAATTGTAGGCTCCAGCCCTGTGGACATGAATGCCTCAGTGACCAGTCCGTCTGGAGTGACTGAGTTGTGTGAAATCATTGACTTGGACGACTGCCACTATAGCATCAAGTTTATCCCCAAGGAAATGGGAGTCCACACTGTTAGCGTGAAACACAAAGATATGCATATACCTGGTTAGTAAGAAAGCTCACTCGGTCAATTTGCAATTATAGTTATGTATACTCTAGCCGGTATATTTTGCATTCTGTTTGCATGTATTTTGATGGATCTTTGTTTTTAATGTGAATATGTTATATATATGATATATATATGATCCCAGTGTTTCTAAGAGTGAGAAGCAGAATGAATGTGTTATTTTAAAGTTATACATCATGCAACATATTGAAATATTCATTTGTAAAACTAGTACATTTTAAAGTCCATTTATATAGGGGAATAGGAGGGGCGTGTTTTTCTCACTTACATTGTTTCTCCTCTCCTCTCCCCAAAATAGGCAGCCCATTCCAGTTCACAGTTGGTCCTATCACAGAAGGCGGCTCACACAAGGTTCATGCTGCTGGCCCTGGCTTGGAGAAGGGAGAGGTCAACGAGAAATGTAAGTATTATAATTATATATTATCACATCTTTGTATGGCATCATACCTATGTTTCAATGCAAATAACTTGAAACTTGAAATGTGATGAGTAAATTAAAGAAATAAACATGTTTCACTTAATTTTAACTGGATATGTCAGAATATTGCTGTAAATGATTAAAGGCAATCTAATTGTATTTTGAACTATTACCTAACTGAAAATGTTGATTATAAAACCATTCTTTTTTCATTCATGCAAAATAAAGAAGGAAAAGGGTAATCAGATGTAGTAAAGTACCCCCAAAATGTTGAGCACGGTACATATTTTAAAAGTTAAACTGAAAACATTTATTACGTCTATTTCAGGCGAATTCAACATCTACACACGTGAGGCAGGTGCTGGAGGTCTGTCGATTGCAATTGAAGGACCATCCAAGGCAGAGATTGACTTTGCAGACCGCAAGGACGGGTCGTGTGGAGTGTCCTACGAGTGCACAGAACCTGGTATGACATTGTTGTGCATTAACTTTAAGCTCTAAAGTACATGGATGATTTGATGTATGGACTTGTGTTTTACATTTGAGTTTGACAAAAGTGAGGAGTGGAAGAAGTGAGAAGCTTTATGTAATATATCTACATGCAGGCTCATTTTTGTTGTATGAATAAGTAAGTTTTTTCAATTTTTGAATTTAAAAATGTACTAACAATTATATGTGCTGACAATTACAGATGAAAGTACTTCTTATGATTTATACTTTCTTAAAAAAATTAAAATCTTCAGGATGTCATTGTAAACAAAAAAAATATTCAGAAACAAAATGCAAAATGAAATCATTTCATTGCCTCTGTTTCAGGTGAATACATGGTGTCTATCAAGTTTAATGATGAGCACATCCCTGACTCTCCATTCAAAGTGTACATGTCAGCCTCCAGTGGAGAGGCCAAGACGGTCACTGTAGCAAGTCTAGAACAGGCGGGACTTGTGGTAAGAGTCTAATAGGTTACTACTTTGTGATAAGTGGGATACACTTGGATGTGAAGAGCTACCAGAATTTAGAGCGAACAGAGAGTACAAAGAGATTTTGCTTAAAATTTAATCACAGTTTTTCAAATTTTTTTTTTTTTTTTTTTTATTGATACTGTATTTTTATGGAATAGCCTGAATGTTATGCAGTACATAATTTTTGTAAAAACCTGTGATTTTTTTAAAAGGAAATACAAAGATTCAAATTCAGATGAGTGGTCACTGGTCTTGTATCAAATGCACTTTCATTTGGTTTCATGTTTTTTTTTCTTTCTGTCCACAGATTGGCAAACCAAGCACATTCTCTGTTAACTTGAATGAAGCCAAGGTGGGCCGTCTTGAAGCCAGAGTAACTGCGCCATCTGGTGCCGAAGATAATGCATTCATCCAAGAGATTGATGAAGGCAAGGGCATTTTTCCAAACTTGCCAAGTTGAACCCAACTTAGCACCTAGTGGAATGCGTGGATATTTATTTAACAGATTACATTTTAACCTACCCAAACAAAAAGGGGGGCGGGGGGGGGGGCGGAAAGCATTGTTGACTAGTAACCAAAATTAAAGCCACACTTGTTAAGTGTAAAGTCTGCATCACTATGCCATATATTTATCGATGTTGTTTAGAAGATTTGCTTCACGTTTTAATACTTAACTTTTGCATTAATTCGACACTTTTTAATCTATTGTCTCTCACCTCCAGGCCACTATGCTGTTAGGTTTATCCCCAGAGAAAATGGCCGTCATTACATCCATGTGCTATACAACGGCAACCACATCCCAGGCAGTCCATTTGTTGTCATGGTAGGCAAACTGGACGCTGATCCTGGCATGGTTCAGGCCTATGGTCAGGGACTGGTCAAGGGAGAGACAAGTAAGTTCTCTTAAGTGCTGCCATATTCAACATTTTATAATTGTCTAGCTTACTTTATGGAATAAAGAAGAACTGGTATGAAAAGGTTCAGGTGGATTTATCTTTGGCATGCTAAAAGACAGAAGGTAAACAGATATTATATGTACTTTTGGACCAGAAAGCTGACATCTTTGAATTATTTAAATAAAATAGTCAGGCTCAGCATTTTGGAGACCTCTGTCATTGTTTGCAAGGTACTTTAATTGTACATTTATCAGATTTGCATGGGATATCCTCTTTTTTCCAGTTCTTCAATTATCCAGCCAAACTAAATGGTGACGTATTTTCTTCAATTATCCAGCCAAACTAAATGGTGATGTACAGAATATATAATTATATATATATTATCTGTTTTCTTTTTCAGACAAAGTAGCTAAGTTTATTGTGAATACAATGAATGCAGGAGCAGGTGCTCTGTCTGTGACAATAGATGGGCCATCCAAGGTAGATCTACAGTGCAAAGAGGTGGAGGAAGGGTATGAGTTCTCATACACACCCACATCCCCTGGAGGTTACCTTATTGCCATCAAGTTTGCTGGCAACTACCACATTGTAGGAAGTCCATTCAAGGCTAATATTACAGGTAATCTGGCTGATATAGGACAAATCATGTGTAATATGATGATATATACAACTGTTAAGTTTTCGTTACTCCACTTTTTTCTATGAAAACCAAAATGTTGCCTACTTTTGTGTACCACATTTTGCAGTTCATATAGTAGAAGTTCTTATGTTGTTCAGGTCACATAAAGATTGTAATTGTGACAAAATCATCTTATGGACAGATTTCTTCATGTAAGATGCCTGATCATGGTGTCTTACAAATGAAAAAATTGATCAAGCAATACTTAACTTCACCACATAGGATTGACATTTCTGATCATGTCATTGAACATATCCAGTGATACAATTACCGCAATCTAAGTAAAAGGAAATGTTGTTAATAGCACAGCTTAGATGTTTTACTTAACAAAAAGTGCTGATACAAATGATTTATAGTTCCTGAATTTTTGATATGGCAGTATTAATTTTGACTGTGACCTTAATAGTACTTTTAGTTTTGCAGTAATTATACATCTCCAATGTTAAAATGGTTATGCTACACACATGTAAAACCTCAATGCAGACTTTAGAATTAATACACACAAGAAAGTACACAAGGAACCCTCATGCTCAAAATGAGATAAACTAACTTAGTCTTTTCATGAGGTTGGTTACCTCAGAGGTATTTTCATCTCATTCAAGGTGGATGTTACAGATAAAGGGTACCATTAACCACAGGAACCTCTCTTGTAAGTCTGGTAATTGGGTGGAGGTATTCTAGATAAGAACCGACCTTTGAAACCCAGAGATCCGCATACAAAATGATCTCTCCACTATGGTACTAAAATTAGGAGTTTTTTTTTTTTTTTTAAAGCAAAACTCAGTATGAATATTGAGTCAAGATACAAGGCATGTTTAATTTTAGTACCTTTCCTCTCTGAAGGAGTACATGAAGAGAGCAAGCTCAGTCATAATCCCAGAAACCTAATTAAAAGACCATTTGAGATAAGAATCCGAATTCCACATCCTTGTACATGAGCATGTTTTAGACACGTACCGCCCAATTTCCTAGGAATGTCTGATTTCTTGTTTTGATAGCAGAATACATGTTGGAAGCCCGTTTACATGGTCCTACAAGAAATACTCATATTCATCACAAGTTTACTGAAAAGGAAAGACCAGATGTTGTTAGTCTCTGGAAGGAACACTGAATTTGATATTTGAATGCAGCAGTTGAGATGTTGAATGCAGTGGTTGACATCATTTTAGGCCCCATTCAGAAAAGGGGATCTGAGGGTCAAATATGGTGACCCACCACAAAGCTTGCCATCTAATCCGCTAATAGACGCTGAATGGATATCCCGTATTCAGTGGGTTAGCCATATTAAACTCTCAGACTAGTTAGTCCCCTATTCTGGATAGGGCGCTAAATGCACTGGTTGAAAATAAAGCAGGTTCAACTTATCTGCTGTCTGAAGTACATGTACACTTCAGTTTTTGGTGAATTTTAATATTGACTGAAAAATTGTTTATCTAACATTAAATAATACATATTGAATTGTCTAGACTGCTGGTAAATGAAAAATGACATCACAAATTAAATCATAAAATTTATAAAACTATGATGTTAACATTTGCAGTTTTTTTTATATAATTAAGAAGGTTTCATAGTTGTTTTGATAAAATTTGTTTGTAAATCATCACAGTATTTTTCAGAAAAGAAAGAAATGACTAATATACTCTTTTCTTCAACTCTCATGCGTCATAATATTTGACTACTTGTAAAATTGCTGACCTATTTGGTACAATAATAGCTTACATGACAAAATAATTTGGCAGTGTAGCAACCAAATATCGAGTGGAATAAACTTGTTCTACATGTGTCACCTAATCTCAGAAGATAAATGAGCTTTTGATAACAGAAATTTATATGATAAGATTGGCAAGGCACATTTGACTTCAGGGGAAAAAGAGAAAGCCAGCATTTTTGCCCACATCGTTCATAACCTGTTTAAGACATAAAGTGATATTTTGTACATTAAAAAACAGTGTTGCTGAAGAAAATTATCAGCCAAAGCCAGTTTTGCATAAAATTTACCAATAAAAGAAAGCGATGACATTATTATACAAACTTTCCTTACGAACAATCATATGTTGGCAAATACTCCGATTTCATAACAGTACTCCATTATCACAGTTTTTAAAGAGTATAACAGTTCTTTTATAATTGCTGTCATATTAAATTCCGACATTCTCAAGGTACACCAGGTAATAATCCCATTCTGTCAACAGATCTGACTCATTTATTACCACAGTTCAAAATGGGCGATACTGTAATAAAAAGCAGGAGAAATCAGCAGGCTGTGCCTTCAAACAGTATGCATAGTGTATACTTGACTTCTCTGACTCATACAACATGTCACCGTTCACACAAGTCCAAGTCTGGAACGGTTCACAATTTGTCTCCATTAAACCAGTTGCATTGGCATGAGATTGAGATTACATGCTTTACCACCTGCTATGTACCTATATTTCAAATGGTGTCATCCATGAACCATTCATATTTAATAGCATAAAGCAGATTCAGGTCGTAACTGAATTACCTATGGTGTGAACTCCCCTACGTAATCAGTTGAAAGTATGCAGGTAATATAAACAGTTGGCTGAGTTACAACCATCTGGCTTATATTGTATCCGAGTTTGTGATCTCTCAGATATGAATATACCTCTGTCTCCATTATAATTCAGTGACACTCACACAGCTGAGGAGATTGTAGGACACGGAAACCACACAAACAACTGATTTCACTGAGTGATAAAAGTTGACTATCAGTTTTTATCAATACCAGTTGGGTAACTAGGATGTGTGTATGTATTTGAGCTGTGGAAAGAACATTGTGGAGGCAGTAGCGCAGTTCTCTTTTAGTCCAATATATTTATTTTACTAAAACTGGATTACGAGTATCATCTATGTGATATTACTATAGTATCAATTGCCTTGAAACACAAGAGTTTGGCAGATTTGGGTTATTTTATAAGCTAAATAAACAGAGAAGGCTGGAAAGATAAGCAGGATAGGTTTTAATGGAGACATTTTAATATTGGATGAAGTTTACCTTGAAGTGAAAAAGGAAAGGAATCGGTTGGATTGGATTGGATTGGATTCTTGGATTTTGCCAAAAGTTCTTTTATATTTTGAACATCACAAGGCCATTAAGGTTAAGTTTATGTACACAGGGTTATAACAATGAAGCAAGACTATGTAATATGGACATTCTCAGTCCAGGAACACAAGGATGACAGTCCTAAGAAAAGGTGGACTAAATACTGTAAGTTAATTTGCACATGGTGGGCACGTGTACAGTGCATACTACATCATGACATTAACTCAGTCTGAAAAGGTTTCTTTAAGCCAACTGATGTTCTTCAATCATCAATCACTTTTTTTTCTAACATAGATACATATTGAATTTTAAAGTGACATGATCTCATTTGTTTAAGTTATCATATCTCTATCAGTGTATACATATTTGCTTGATGTAAAATAATAACTTTTTTAAAGCAATTATGTTAATATCATGATAAACAGCATGCCATAAGGCATGTTGGTACATGCACCTTTATTTTTTGAAAGGCCTGTTTTAAAATTGATCACTCTACCTTTCAGGCTTAATGAACAGCCCTGCTCTACATATTGGGAATTAATCCAAAACTGGTTATATCTAAATATATTTTATTGGCTTCAAGGGGAAAAGAGAAGGAAAATAAAAAGCCAGCATGTTTGGCTATATTTATTCATTCTGAATATATTTATTTATATTATTTCGTCCCTGTATTTTCCAGGCCCAGGTCAACCCTCACAGGTGACAGAGCACACATCCATGCGTATGGAGACCACCACAAAGACTGGCGCTGACCGCCTGAGAATCCCACACTTCCCCTCAGATGCCAACAAGGTCACTGCCAAGGGCAACGGCTTGAAGAAAGCCATGGTCAACAAGAAGGCTCAATTCTCTGTGGACACCAAGGATGCAGGTGAGTCGTCCACTCTCGTGAATGACATTTGGCGAGGCCTATTCATTGGTGACTACTCTCAAACGTGCCTTCTCACAAATTCCTGAGTGATCTCTCAGTTTTTTGTTTATTCCCTTCTTTTTTTGAGCACTAGTATTTTTGTATGAAATCCAAGCTTATTTGTGAGACTTGATGCCGTTTGTGGTAACAAGTACATGTCTGACTTGCTGTATGACCATTATATTGATAAGAATATGGCAATGTGTGAAATAAACTGAATTTTTTCACCTAATTACATAATTTAAGTACAGTTAAGTGTCTTTGACAAAGATAACGTGTGCTATTTAAATACCTTTGATTGCAGTTTGTTCATGCTGGAATTTATTGTATCATCAGAGCACATATTTGTTTCAAAAAAGTGGAGCCCATTTTTAATCATGTTATATAATATGTGCTGTGTATATTTTTGTTGATGGGTGGTTTAACATGATGGTGCTAACTGTGTGAATTTATTGTAAATTACAGGTCAGAACATGTTGTTTGTGGGAGTAATGGGTCCTAAGGGCGTAGCGCCGTGTGAAGAAATTAACATCCGTCTCACAGGCAGGAACACGTACACCGTTAACTATAGCGTCAAAGAGAAAGGGCAGTACCTCCTTATGGTGAAGTGGGGCGAAGATCACATACCAGGCAGCCCCTTCACGATTGACGTGATATAAGCACTCGACATTTTTCTCTAAATTGAAAAAAAAATAAAATAAAACTATGATGATATTGCTCATCTGTTGAGAAACGAGTACTTTGCTGTAGACTGGGCTCATTGTTAACACAGTTTAAGACTTCCATGTTGTTGTACGAACACAAGTCACATTGTGGAACAGTAACAAAGACAAAATGCACTCAGTGAATACGGCGGAGCTGCTTGTTTTATGTTGTTCAGTTACTAAGTTTTTTTTCTCAAGGGGGGAGGGATCGAGGTATTGGATTATATCATAATGTATTATAGCCAATTTGCTTTTAGCATTGCTGCTGTATTGGTGGATACTGTTTTTTTACAGGCTAACACCAAATCTGGTGTATTATTATTGCGGGCTAGGAGTCCTGATCTTTATGATATCTCCATGTTATAGAGAGTGTGCAGGGGACCACCATATTCCTCGCTCATATCTGCTGCATAAATAAAAAAAATTAGACTTGACATTTATGCTTTGCATAATGATTTGAGCTCTAAGAACATACGCCGTATGTTTGGTTTGAAAAAGGAATTAAAAAGGTTTCAGTTTTATGATGAGAAGGCACATTTAACGTGGTTTGTGTGCACTTTTTTTACAGTTGCTGTAAATGGCTTCTAAGAAGGAGAACATTTATGCAGCAGATGTGGTCTTGAATTTTGTGGAGGATTTTTTCACACGGAGTGCTGTCTCCGGTATGCAGCCACATGTATCTAGATTTTTCAGACAACTGTCCTTTTTTTTAAAGCAAAACCAAGAAAACTGACAGAAAAAAATTATGATGTAGGAAACAAAAAATGATCATTTCTTAAAGCAGGAAATGTTGACTTTTTTTTACATTGGAGAATATTGAAACACAACAGTCAGTGAATCAAAACCGAGGGAAGATGGCTGCTCTGTGATGATGCATCTTGAGGAAGAAATCCACATAAATAACTTGCTTTAAGCAAGTTGGATGGTGGCCCTGGTACTGCACACTTCTGCCATATACAAGCTTTATATATGTCTTCATATGCTCCTGTGGTTTAGTACTTCATATATAAATTCATATATACATATAGATATATCTCAATACATGGCAAAGGCAATATTCTTTCTCAAGCAAATGTCTAACAATTCATATAAGCACTGCATGTTTTTATTGAAAGGCCGTGATACTAATAATCATTTTTGTAGGTATTAGAGGTTGCAAAATTTTGAAATTTAATATTAAGGATATTTACAGGTAATATATCTGGCAAAGACCATATGCTCATGAGGCTTATAATATGCATCTTATTGATATATGTAAGTTGGATTGTTGTTGTTTATTCTTTTAAAAATAAACTGAATCATGGAACAAGAAAGCTTCAATTCAGCATAGCTGCTTTTGCAGTGAGAAACTGTATTATTTATGAATGAAAACCTGATTTAATAAATTAGAATTAAAATTGGAGTCGGAGGTAATAATATAATGTACCAGAATGTGTTATTTTAAAATGATTTTATTGACAGTTTTTAGTTTGATTTTTGCATTTTCAACCTTCTCATAGATTGAAGTTTATCACAGTTCATAAACTTTCCGAACACCGAGTATGTTATTTATTATTAAAAATCTCCGCACTATTAAAAAAAATGCAGCTTAATGATCAAGATCATTTTTCACCCAGCAGAAGTAGAAAGCAATTTTTATGAGTACATTTTGTAAATCATAGGAGCCAGCGAGGACTTTGGATAGATAAGTTGTTTAGATGGATCGAATGATGTAGAATGCTCGGCCAATAGTTTTATACCTAGTTGCTACAATCTTCAAGGCCAAATATATATAATGCAAGCTGCAAGCCAGTTTTAACAGTTTTATATTCATTAATTACTTTTTGGGTCTTTGGCTTTTCATGGCCTATGAACAATAAATGGCTGGAAAACAAGTGTTTGGTTTGTTTTTAATTCATCCCTCAGGTACAAAGAAAATAAGACCTAGATCTTACCATCCCCCTTAGATTCAAAAAGTTTTTGTTGAGATAGTTTGTTAATTAATGGTACTATTTCTGGGCTTTTTGTACCAAATCAAATATTAAAGTGCACCATCTTAGAACTCTATTAAACATGCAAAGTTGAATTACGTATAGACCAATACCAACTGGCAAGACAGACTTTTGCCTTTTGGAATACAGTATTAGGACGGTGGGACAAAAGTGCGAGAACAGTGTACATGTGTTATACTGGTATCTGCCAGTAAATTCTAAATTTCGGTTCACACGTTTTAAAATGACAGATAAGGGAGATACATGCATAGTATAGTGAGAATTTTTTTTTTTACTGTAGCACTGGGCTGGAAAATAATTATTATTTGAATTATGAATACCATCATTATTTTGGTATTAAAAAACCAAAGAGGTAATAACTTTTGTTGAGACTGTGAATATGAGGCCGGTTCGATCAAGGAAGACCCCCCCCCCCCCACACACACACACCGAAACACACACTTTGGCTCCACAGACGTCCATTCAAAAAGGTCATGCTCAAATTAGCCGTAAACTTTATTGCCCTAAGGATATTGTTACCCTTTATTATTATCCAGATACCGAAAAGGAGGTTTTTCCTGCATCTGATTATTCAATAATGCATATATCTTTATTGTTATGGAGTTATGAGCCCCTAATTACAGATTTTCATTAAACAAGGCATTCTTGTACTTTATCAACGATAAAATCTGAACTAAGACTTAAAAAATATCGCTGGCAGAGTTTTGGAGTACTAAATGGTGTCATTAAATCAGCGTTGCAATGGTGATCGTGGGTGCTCAGGTTAAGGAGAAATTTGAGTAACCGATTTATTTTCATTTTTACCCCAAAATCGCAATTATGACATCACCCGTAAGATGACATTTGTTTAAATATTAATAAATTTAGTCACTGAACACTGAAGGTTTATCTATTATCCAAAAGATTGTATATAAGCCAGTTAATAATTTTGGGCGAAGGGTGACAATATCCTTCAGCTCCATTTACACTGGACGGCGTCCTTTTGTGTCCCTTAGTACGGCCCTGTTTGAGAGAAAAAAATACTTGACGTGCCGACTACTGACCAATCGATGAGCATTCATTTTGCAACCAAAGCGATGCTTGTGACTCCTTTTTACTCCCACTGAGATGTCAGTTTCACGGGCGCACAAAGGACGCAGAAAGGACGCCCTCCAGTGTAAAGGGGGTTTTATAGAGGCCTTCTTTTTGGTTCGGAAATTTTCGCGCACGGACAACAAAAATGGCCACCAACGAAAAATTGCCGCATTCAGTGTGGTTAACGGTTTTCAATATTTACTATTTTATACTGCTTTCGAAAGATCTATATACGTAAATTACACTCGCAATTTTGAAAATGGTTTGAAACTATTTCGAGGATCTAGACTAATATATGCTTTGAAGATTTTTCTTACAACCAACATAAAACAGTGGGCCTGATTTGCCCAGACTTTGGAACAGAATAAATCAAAATTCTTAATATGGGCACCTGTTGAGGAATTACTTCATTCTTTGAGTCTAGTTTATATAACAAGCAAAGTGTATCAGATAAATACAAGGGTGGATTTGAATTTATAATCCATGTTGAACTGTACATTGACCTGCATCGTTTTTCTTATACAGGTTGATGATGTTTATATATAATAATAGACATGAATGCATTCGTTGTAAAACCTCAACCTCGGGGTTGGAATTGCAGAAAATATGTTAAATTACCTCCGCCAAGGAGGTTATGTTTTCACCCTTGTTTGTCTGTCTGTTTGTCATCAACATAACTCAAAAGTTATGGATGGATTTCGATGGAATTTTCAGGGTAGGTTAGAAATGGGTTAACTTAGAAGTGATTAGTTTTTGGTGGTGATCCGGATGAATAATCAATCAATAATCAAAAATCAAAAAGCTAAATCATTATAGAATGAAAATTTAGGGGTGATACGGCATTGGATGGAGACTTTGCTGTCTTATCGGAGGTCTGTGCTTTTCTAGTAATCATTATTTTAACCTTTGACAGATTTTTTTTAATTGATGAAAATTTAAATGGAACACATTTTTTCCTTTATAAAACATCAGTGTGAAGTTTTGCTTTCAAACAAAACTAACGAAATAGATTTTAAAGCAGTAGACATTTTATTCATTGCTTAAGAAGAGATACAATCGTCATCTCAACTTGATCATTTTATTTTCTTGCAGTTGATAAATCTGTGTTGGGTTATGAGCTTAATATATTCTAGAATAAACCTGGCCATAAAACTGGAGTCTTAAGCAACTTTGCTAGTCTCGAGCAAGTCACTCTCAGTTTCATTTCGCTGGGCCATGGCATCTCTAACAAGAGATAGTGACTATAAAGTTCCCTTCTTTGCTACGATACCCGAACACACCTATTATGTACGTCCCACTGGCTAGCTCGCCTTCAGGGATCTGGAGTAGAGAGGTGAGGCCGCACCCCCTACCGTCGTCATTGTCGTACAAACTGTACTCCTCGGCAATGCCGCATGTCCCATTCGCAGCTGGTTCAACATAGGCTAACGCAGCACAGTCAAAAATAGCCAGCTGTGTGTCGTAGTCGGCGGCGTTGCAAGTGGATACAACGATGTTCCTATTGCCATAGTAAGTGATGGAGTATCGCAGCGATGCCAGATCCTCTACCACGTATTGATAGCTACCGGAAAACGAGTAATTTGTGCCGTCACACACGACTTGCTGAATGTACGCTGGAAGCGAAAACATACTTTTTAATTTACATTCAAATTGGTCGCAAAATTAACGGATATGCTGTAAAAAAGAAGGAAAGCACAAAATAAGCTGCATCCCCTTTACATGTCAAGCTGCATAATGTTACATCATTTTTATCTGTTTGTTTTCATACACTTTATGTATGCTTATTAAAGATGCACCCGAGGATATGACCATTATATCTGTGAGGCTCCTAATGCCACTTAATAATTGCGGTCTTTACTGATGTAAATACTGTTGCACGGGAAAACATGCATTTCCATACCTTATAACTGAAATGCAAACTAATGGAATAAAATAAAAGCTTGTCAGATAGAAAATAACTGAGATTTAAATTTCCTTCTCGCTTAATGCAATACCATACTCACGGCACTGTTCTGTAATTTCAGCTGAAAAATTAAAAAGATGAGATACTTTGAAAATGCATCGTTTTAAATAGATTTTGATTTAGTTGAGTAAAAATCTTTATTTCGACACCAAAATACACCAAAAAATATTTCACTATATGAAGTTTTCCTGTTTGCTATGCATTTTGAAAGAGCCTATGACGTGAAATGTGAACTATAATTCATTGCTGTAACGCTTTCTTTAAAAATGATAAAACCAGTGTGATTTCTATCTATAGATTGGAAACAAACTGTAGATAATAATTTACTAAGTTTGATGTAAATCATAATTTTCTAAGTTTTATACTTACGACATCCCGGTACCTCTGAGGAAAAAATAAAACAAAGATATACTTGCAAAATAAACAGCCACAATATATCATATATGACAAGAACGGTTATGTACATTTTAATGTACTTAAAAGTGTCTTAGAAGCCCGAAGGGCTGGGTGATTTTCTTAGCAATGTAACACATGGTTCTCTAATGAATGAATGAATAAATTTTACACAACAGTATGCCAGATGAACAATGGAATTGGGGTTTCTATCATCAGAGCTGCAGTGAAAACATTCTATGATAATTATCGATTAGGTGAATACAAGAATTAAACCCTTGGGTAAAAACCAGAACAGTGGAAAATGTTTCATGTTGAATCACTAAACGAAAAAAGAGAAATCAGCGAAAACTTAACTTTCACAAACCAATACACAAACCTGAACTTTTAAAAGATAGATGCAGACAAGTAAGTTTCTGTGTTTAGATTAAAGCGTGTTTAGATTAAACTGTATAAGACTCATCTTTTTTTACATGTTTATCATTATGCACATTACAGCAGTCTTTGCCATTCTCACCTGGAACACAAGTTTCGGAATCCTCAACATACGGGTCCAACACGTATCCCTCCTCACAAATACAAGACCAAGGCCAAGGACAAGCTAATATACCTTGACCCTTTTCACTGGGAATATTCTTGCAGCGAGTCACGTTCTCTTTGTCCACCCTACAGCATAGTGTATTATTCCCGCACACCGGTGGTTTATCGCCCATTGCTTGAAATAAAAAAGAAGATACTGTATATACACACGCGTCTTCGAAATGAATAACAAACTGCTAATAATTAGCGTGATGGACTTCAGCGAAGAAATAATAATAATAATAATAATAATAATAATAATAATAATAATAATAGCAAAGGTATTACAGTAAATACCAAACACCGTTCGGGGTGAAAGCCACGTTGTCATCCTCAACCCGACACGCCACTGGCTTTGTCTCATGTATTCAAGGAAACCGTGTCGTTTTATTGGCTTTCAACGGTGGAAAATGCTTACAGGCTTACAGTTGTGTGTAACAAACTCAAAAATCATTCCCTGGAGTTATATTTTAAAATTCTATCTATCTATTTTTTTTTTTTTTTGTTACAAAGTCTGGGATCCTGTTATCCCTCCCTTCCGTCCGGCTGTCTGTACGTTTGTTATTTTAGCTATCTTCACCTAAACCAGTAGAGCTGAAAAGATGGGGGTTTAGATGAATCGATCTAAGCATGGGAACCCGACCTTAGAGAAAATCTCCTGGATCGAACCAGCTAGTATACGATAAGTTTAGCACTTACGAGCACCGCCGACTGCACAAAGTGTCACCATCATCAAAACAACACAAACGAGCATGGGTCTAGTCATCTTCATCTTCAGACGATAGTTCTACGGTTGATGAATTTCTGGCAAGTTGCTGGTCTGCTGGCTGTCAGTCTGTTGGTCTGATGAAACGCTTGGTGGACTGCGCCTTTCATAGAGCATTCCCAGTGTCGGCTGCGTCTGCTTTAGAGGAATAAACCAATCATTTGCTTGGGAAAGAAAACTCCCTATTGGTCCAATACAACGATCTGCGCCTACGTTTTGGGGCGTCTTTGATTATCATAGTGATCTAAAAACATTAAATATTAACTCTCTTTTGTATATTAATTTTTTCATGTTAGTTACACTGATGGACGTGCTTTCCTACCTTCTGTAAGGCCAAAATTAGGTATATTTAAAACACTTCCATATCAATTTAACTGACGACATTTTCTTAAACAGATGAAAGTTGCTGCTGAATTTGAATGGGCAATATTGCGAGAAGCATAATCTGCATATACACCATCAGAGGAGTGTGATGGAGCTGGAGTCTCAAGTATCTCATGGTTGAAATATCGAAAGTCGTTAGATAATCCATCAGTATCAATCGGTCAATTAGTAACAAAGCTTTCGGTTTCATTGTATTGTCCAACAAAATCAAATTGCCTCTCAGGGTCCCTGTCGTGAATATTCCCTTCGACACTGCTTAATAGAAAGTAACATTATTCGTATGCAGGTAATGATGTCAAAACTCGTGTTGATAAGTTATTCTTTCCACTCCTCTTACACACTGCCACATTATAATTCAGAATTTGAAGTAAACATCATGGCATTTAGTGACGGGAATAATGAGATGAATGTAAAAACGTGGTGGGATGTGGAAAAATACTGATATTCTTTCAAGGCCACGGCATTCAGTAATTTTTTGGAATTGTCCCAAATCGGCAGTGCTCAGCTTTGATCGTTTTATCCAATTCACATTAAACCAAAAGCTCTCTATTAGGTTTGCAAGTGAAGATTTCGTCAAAAGTAACCCAGCAAGACGCTACCTGTACGCATGTTGGGCGACTTGCGAGTCTATGAACGATGAGACCCACTGGAAAGAAACCTGAGGCCGGTGCTACTTTCTTCGCTATTATGAATCCTTTCAGCGATTGACACTGGTGGCAAGACCTTTGAGAGTTCTGTTAACAGTTACATACACTAATAGACACATGTTCACACGATGAAGAGTGATTAAGACCAAGAGAGGTGGCTTGGGAGACATCATCGATATCACTTGGACACCTCTTTGCAACGCATCCGAATACGATTTTCTGCCACGGATTGCGAGGACGGGCAAAATGGTTCTCCAAGCGGACGCAAGTTCAGTTCAAATAAAAGGAGGTTTGGTCATATAGTGCTCCGTGACTCAAACGTTTAAACTTTTGCGTTAAATATCAAAAAAGGTTACATGTCAAAAATGCATCTTGCTGAAGGTTTTTGCATGTGTATTTGTATCCTTTATCCCAAAATTAAAAAATAAATAAATAAATAAATTTTAAAGAACACGCAGGTGTAGCTGATGACTGGGTTCCCATGACTAGATCGATCCTTCTGGATCGGTCTAACTCCCTGGGGAGTCTCACTAAATTGCTATCAACTTAAGCGGCTTAAATGTCTGTCACACCTACCGAATCAGCTGGGGGGTAAAGATAATTACCCCCTCACAGCTTTGCTGGGTGTGACAGACATTTAAGCCGGTTAGGTTGGTAGCAATTTAGTGAGACTCCCTACAGGGAGTATATTATGTAGACACGCATCTGCTTGCAAAGTAAATACGGTAAAAACAAGGCTAGAAATGCGCAGCATTCACGCGATACGCGAGGGCGCAACAGTAGGGCTTCGCGTGACTCAACTAGCCAATCACAGCACAACAATGTCATCCCACACTTCCGCAATGGAAGTAATATTCACGAATCGCGAACCCGTTCATCTAGCATCTCATTAAAAATGCACGCATGCGCAGTGGGCTAGGCGTGACGTCATGCAGCGCATTTCTGGGAATAATGAGAACACATTGGCAGGTTGGGTTTACTCAATTATGTATTCTTTCTAATGTACCCACATTCTATGTAGTTGCACGTGGGAAAAACATCGTGTCAACAAATGCACAATAATAAAACAGTTAGTTTGTGTCCATTCCAGACATTTGACCACTCTTTGAAGTTAAAATTTTAGACGTTGAAAAGTTATTTAAAACAGCAATACATTATTTAATGTCAAACAGTTAAACTGTTAAACACACACATGCGTGTATTTTTCTTCAGCTATAGATTTTTTATTGGTTGTTACTAATACATGAAGCATGTATATTGGTTCAATTGTTTTATTTTCTTCTATAAAATAAAGCGAAGAGCTTATATCTTATGGCCTTTAGTGCCCCAAGACCAAACACGCGGGAGCGTGCACACACACACACACACACACACACACACACACACACACACAATCACATGCTTAAGAAATTATTTTTTTGTACCTTGGAACTTGTTTTGTCTCTCCAAAAATTATCTGTTCCCATCTGAAAAGCATCGGTTATATACCTTTGTAAAGGGACAATTATTGTGTTTCATTATGTGGAAATGCACATGTACACTTTATCATGTATATGTAAGTATCGATTTATGTTGAAAACTAATATAAGTCTCCCCGTAGTCAAATTTGACTATTTTTTTTCTAATATTATTCCCTATTATATGTTTATTGAGGCATTTCTGTATCTTTCACCCTCTAACAGATCATTTCTTTTTTTTTGTTTAGTTTTGGTGAAAATATCTGATTTTTTTTTTTTGGGTGGGGGGGGGTGGGGGGGGGATAAACTTTCACGATATAACTTGCCTTGGCATTTTTTATTCTATATCTTTGAATTTCCTTGTTTAATATATGTACTGTTTATGTGTCGCCTATATCAAAATTTTTTGAAATAATGTTGAAGTCCGACAGAAATGCATATTATACGGTGGTAAATCTACAATTAGTCTGTGATGTTAACCCCAAGTTTCAGCCCCAAACCTGTAAGTTTAAAGTAAATAAAATCTTCCCTTATACGTAAACAATCCACACCAAAAGCTCGTCCCAAATCTGAAACGGTACTCTGTCACTGAGCAAAATTCGAAAGATTTTACAAGCCCACCTTCATTTTTCTTGTATTTTTCACGGGGCCAGTGATTATCGTAGCTGGCAGGGAAGATAGGAATAATAAGACAAAGAGGTAATTTTTGTGGCAGGTTGTTTTTACTTGATAATTAATTCCCACACTACCTGCATCTTACGCATATGACGACTTGACGAGTATAGAAGAAGAAGAATGTATTCTGTCTGCAGTGAATACTAGCTTTTCTTTTTTTTTTGACGGTGGTATCTAGCAGCTTCGCACCCCCCTTTCTCAGCACCCTTTTATTTTCCAAGACAGGTCGCTCAGCAGTGGCTAAAGAACGTTCATCAGCCTCGAAGGAGGCAAAAAGAATGGTCACTACTGATCGACTTTGACTGCCGCTGATGCTACAGAGAAGGCAAAGAGGACGCTCAATGGTTGCTCAAACAGCGCTCAAGGGTCGCCTTCATCGTCTGTCATTGCGTTTACGTTGGACGCCGTAGGCTGCACGAGGGACGCACAGGGGAGGGAGAGAAAATGCTCGGTTGACTTACAGATCGCTTGTAGTTCTGCTGGAAAAGTCCAAAGGATGCACAAGGCTTGCAGGAGCATAATGTGCACCTAGAGTTTTATTTTATTTATTTATTTATTTTTTGCTTTGGCGCCCATTAAGTGTCCTGGGTATATCTTAAGTCGTAGAAAGGACGCACAAAGGTCTCAGCTTATATTGTAAAGGAAACTTCAGCTATTTTTGTCAAGATTTAAAAGTCTTAATAATAAGGGAACGATCTTTTCAGTGGTTGCCACTGTAAAAGGTGTTACGTATATTATGTAGACACGCATCTGCTTGCAATACAGTAAAAATGAGAACACATTGGTAGGTTGGGTTTACTCAGTTATATACTCTTTCTAATCGACCCACATTCTATGTAGTTGCACGTGAGAAAAACATCGTGTCAACAAGTGCAGAATGATAAGAAAGTTAGTTTGTGTCTATTCCAGACATTTGATTCAGTCTTTGATTCAGTTTAGACGTTAAACAGTTATTTAAAACAGTAATCCATTATTTCATGTCCAACAGTTAAACTGTTAAACACTCACGATATAACTTGCATTGGCATTATTTATTTTGCATCTTTGATTTTCCTTGTTTAAGATCTGTACTGTTTATGTGTTGTCTTTGTCCAAAATTTTTGAAATAATGTTGGAGTCTGATAGAAATGCATATTATACAGGGACGGATCCAGAGTTATTTTCTGACAGTCTTCCAATTTATCTTTGTTGATCCATCCTCCATTTTTGACCGTCTTCCGACAGAAAAAATTAGATACCCGTCAATGTAAACTTGAAAATATGACCGTCTTCTGGAAGACCCAGAAGACGCCCTAAATCCGCCCCTGTTATACGCTAGTAAATCTACAATTAGTCTGAGATGTTAACCCCAAGCTTTAGTTTGAGTTTGAGTTTGAAGTCAACAACAAACGTAAACAATCCACACCAAAAATTCGTTCCAAAGAAAGGGTGCTCTGTCACAGAACAAAATTCGAAAGATTTTACAACCACACTTTCATTTTTTGTATTTGTCATTGATTATCGTAGTTGGCTGGATAGATAGGAATACTAAGACATTGAGGTAATTTTGTGGCAGTTCGATTTTATTTGATAATTAATTTCCACACTACTTGCATCTTACGCATATCACATAACTTGACGAGCATAGAAGAAGAAGAATGTATTCTGTCTGCAGTGAATACCAGCATTCTGTTTTTGACAGTGTCTGACTTGCACATGAGTTGATAGAAAACTAATCTGAAATGAAAAATCTCGGACATGACTCCTTTGATTGCTTGAAAACTCTTTTTCATAACAACTCCAAATTGGGAATAAAATAACTGACCTTACACAAGTGTATGCGACGGTTGTTTGCCTGTTTTTTTCTTTTGTAACTGTGCATTATTTTTGTGTATCAGAATGATTGTCATATTATTTATTCTGATATCAGTGCATTTATGTCTCTTTTTATGCCAAGAATAAGTATAATCATAAGCAACTTCAATTAATTTTATTGATTTTGAGACAGGTGCCTGTTGCTTTAAAAGATGAAGCATGCAATAAAATATTTTTTATTTTGCACCGAATGACACTGCCATTAAAGGATTGGAGTGCTGAAGGCATTCAAATAAATTTTCCCAAAAAATTCTTGGAAATTGTTCTTTATATTTGTTCCATGAATTTTTCTTTACTCTCATTTGTCAAACGCACACACTTATGCTGAACCCTTTACAAATCTGTTCTGCATGACTGAATACTGAATGGAGCTTGGCCAATATTGTTTTCTATACCTGACCCCCCCCCCCTTAGATTAAATTCCCACTCGTTCAATGTCTGATACTATAGCAGGATTCACATTCTAGGAGCATTATACAGTGGCGGTGTCAGGGGGTCCTTCCCCCCCCCCCCATCCCTTCGATTTCTGAAAAAATCACACCAATGGCCCCTCTTGAAATTAGAATTTTGACTAGCTGAATCATATTTTTAAACCATACCAAATGGCACCGTTCGCCCTTTAAAATACCAAAAATGTTCGGGGTCCTTCGGCGGGCCCCAAACCCAGCGCCAAGAGGGGGGGGGGGGGGGGGAAAGAGGGTGCTTTGCATCCGCTGAGCCCCCCTTCAAATAATCCTGGATCCGCCCTTGTAAAAGCCATGTCATGTGCAGAGCATCTCTGAAGTGGAAAGATTGTTAGTGCAGAAAATTTCTTTCTCACCAGTTGACAACCGAAAACTTTGATAAGATTATTTAATCAACACTAAGATCATCAAGGCCATTAAGATCATCACCATAACAAATCTCTCATATGAACATTACTTCCTGCCAATCATATATTAGCCTACTAAAGTGGGGCGGGGGGAGAGGGGAGGGGGAGGGGGTTATTTTGCATATACGAGATTTTTTTTCTGACTCCAGTTTTTTTCATTATTTTCAAAAAAGTTACTTAGATTTAAAAAGATTTTGTAGAGGTACATGTAGTTTGTTTATGGTAACATTTGCGGGATTTTTGTACCAAATCAAAGTACACAATCATAGTACTCTATTAAAATATGTCAAAGTTAATGACGTAACTTAGGCCAATACCAAGACGAACTTTTTGCCTTTTGGAATACTGTATTAGGACGGTGGGACAAACTTGCCAAAACAGTGTACATGTATTACACTGGTGTATGCCAAGTTCTGAACTTTGGTTCATACGTTTTAAAATGACAGAAAAGAGAGATACATACATAGTATAGTGAGAAAAATTGTGACCGTTGCACTGGGGTTGAAGATAATTAATATTTTAATTATGAATGTAATCATTATTCTGGTTTAAGAAAATCAAACAAAGAAATATCTTTTGATGAGACTGTGGCTGCCATCGATGAGGCTGCCATCGATCAAGGTAGA